ATCAAACTGAAATGAACACAACAAAACAATAGTATAGGTCTCACACGCAGTCTGCTATCCTTACTGGAGGTTATAAAATAGCAATAAAACTTGCAATTACTTTATAATATTTGTCTTTAATCAGCAGCACACTTGTGCAGTCTACAGTGACTCAGGTTATTGCCTCCGCAGATGCAAAACGGTTCTTTCTGAACAATTCACAGGACAATCAGAAGACACATAAAATCCTGTCAGTATATGGGAAGAGAGTGCAGCAAATCGTAAATTAATCTCTAAAGGCACAAGCCATTTAGATGTGAGTGATCAGTCATTCAGAACACTAAACATTCCAATGTCATTGTCCTGCAGTAATAAAGGATTATAAAAAAATTCAAAATATTTGACTTGAGTTAATGTATTACAAATCAATACCTAAACACACTTGGAAATAGCCCAAGTGTACATGTAATGAATGTGATGCAAATTCACATAATGCAGCAAGGTATTTCCTAGTGAAGTTTGCCTGATGTGAAGATTTTGCAACTCAGTGTTTCTCTGGGGAGGCAGTTATGAGCAGAGGCAATCCAGCAGGGTTAGGGATCATTACAAGGCAACACACTTGGCTCCTTGGGAACATTACTCATCAGTACTACCAGACCCACTCCTCTGGCTGATGAAGAGGCAACTTTAATGGTCTCAAAAGTAAGGCTAGCCATATATGGCTGAAAGGAGTGCTGCTCCTGGCAGAATGACTGGAAGGGAGAAATAGCTGAATATGCTGGAAAACATTGCATAATTCTCCACGGCAGCTATTGCTTCTTTGTGCCATTGGAAGCTTCAAAATTTAGATGGTAAAACAAGTCCTAGGGATAAAAGGAGGAGGGACAGACTGTGTTGTTTTCTTGCTATCGAAATAGCCTTTTCAGCACAGAACAACAGAATGTGTGGTATTTACCATTTATTAGGAGAAGAAGAAAAGTCATAGGGCAGAAAATGTTGATTAATGAGGACATTGGATATGTGTCTGACTTAGCATTTTAGAAACCTCTTTTGTTTAGCACTGTTTGCTTTGCTTAATGACAAAGAGACTATTAATAAATAAATTAAATTTATGTGAAAGAGTGATATCCAGGGAAATGCTCCAATGTACATACGTCCAACCAGGCAAGCCAAAAGGTTGGACATCCATGCTTGAACAAGGTACAATTTAGTTGCATAATGTACAGCATAGTAAACATCACATGTGAGTGGGTAGTAAATGATACTTTATTTTTTCCCTTTGCTTGTTTCAAGTTCTGTATTTAAAAGTATCTTTACTTGTCTTATACTATACACTTTAAAAAAAAGAAGTCTCTATACGTGCATGCTGTTCCTAAAATTAGGGTAAATACTATAATATGGATGAATGCTTCTTTCAAGAAAACAGTACACGCCACGGTGATTGTGCAACCCACAACTCTGCTTCCTTCTATTTTTTTAAGCCATGAGTTTTTAATCAAGATTTTAGATCTTATCAAGCTAGAATCCTTGTTTGTCTCACTATTTGTCCTGCTCTTAGGCTGCAGAATATATGAAAATTGTTTCATCCCAGAAAGGTTCTCATTTTAATACCTCTTTTCTTCAGGATACAGGAACAGAATTCCTGAAGGACTGACAATTAATGGCATATTTCTCTCTGACAGTCTTCAGAAAAACAAATGAGTATTTACTCCTAGAGATGAAAGTAGATGTGATATAAAATGTTAAAAGTACTTCTATTCTACAACAGGTTTAAAACTTTTTCATGAAAACTGAGTGTCACTTAGCTTAACAGGGAGTTAAGAACTTCAGTCAGCAGATGGGTGCCTGCTGCTATTCCAGTGAGTACCTAACTGTTTATATAAGGAGGAACATTTCCAAGAAGTGGGACTCAAATTTTATCCACCACATATACAAAAAATAGATGAGCAGAGATTTGAATTTGTTTTCAAATCCCACTAAGGTACCTAGACAGTAGATCTACTACCTCCACTAATGCGTCTCTTTCTGTCTGGAAATTCCACCTTGGAACTGAGATATCTCTCCCAGCTAATTATTAAACTATATCCTTAAAAAAATGAATGATTTCTGAAGAAAAAGTCTACATAACTCTAAGGTTCCACAATGCATTCTACTCAGGGACTCAATGAGAATTTGTTCTCTTCCAATCTAACTGTGACATTTCTTGTACTCTGATCAAAGAGTCTTTTTTAAGTTTTTCATTGTCCTCAGGAGATTCTGGCTTTGAGCCTTCACAAATAAACTGTGCAATGCATCTAGAATCAAGAAAGAAAGTATGGCATAATTAAGTTAAATATTGTCTCTTAGTCCTCATAAGGAATTTTTTATCTATAGACTTTTCTAGTTATTTCTGAATCAACTGCTATTAAATTAAAAATGTATGGTCTAATACTACATATTCAAACAATCTGTGGCAAGCATTCATAAATTACTACAGAAAAATTACCCACCTTCCAAAGAAAGGTAGATAAAAATGTATGACTGTTTGAAAGCTAGCCTACAGTGATTTGCCCCATCTCCATTGTCCAGTCAAACTGCAGGGTAAGTGATGAAGAGCCATCCACGTAGCTTGTATCTGGTTGGGAGATTCCTTCATTCCTTAAATATGAATATAACAATTGTTAAAGTTGACCCTTTCACTGTACAAGAGTTTGGGGATCAGATTTCATGTTTCTTTTTTCCTGTGAAAGAGCTACTTCCTGGGGAGTCTGCTATTTTATCCACCATTTGCACCAAGCTATTTGGAAAAAACTAAACTGTTATCTTTGTTAGTGAGAATAATAGAGAATGGGAAATTCCTACAGAGGATTTTATCATCAGGAATCAAAGTATTAGAATCAGATGTCAGGACACTGAACAAAATGTTGAGCCCTAGACTGAAAATGGGCCAACCTTAGCAACGTCAGAAGTCAAATCCAAGTTCTGTGAGTTGTCCATACATGTGGGAGCTCCAAATGTTAAAGCAGTCCATGCCTGCTAGGCTGTAGCAGACAGTAAGAGAAATTCAGCCCTTCTGGACACCTTTTGGTTCTAGCTGCCTTCAAGAAAATGCAAAAGATCAGATGCAAGCATCCTGAGGAAGGTATCTTACGCTCAGGCAACTTAGGAGTTTGCCACTACATTTTGTTCACACCATGGACATTTTAATTGGTATTGTTTTCCTACAAAGTTAAGGCCATTTGTCATTCTGAAGAATATTCTAATCTAAGATGGAAATAGTTTCTAAAATTTGTACCTTTCTCATCATTTATTTAGTAAAATATTTTTAAAGTTGCAGCTGAGTCATGAATTGTCCTTTTATTGCTATTGTTTGAACCTAATTGGTATCCGTATGAATTACACCATACAGTTTCATTTCTCAAAATAAATAAATCATTATGTTAGTGAATTATGCATCTATAATTCAAAACAGAGGTTCTGATGATTTACACCAGAAGGTAAATTTGAAATGGAAAATAAATAAATGGCAAACCTCTAATTACAGTTCCACAATTTAAAATGTATCTTTTGTTCTAAATATAGTTTTCTCTGAATTTCTTCTTCATAGCACAACTCATTAACATCATCATCACAGCACAAGCATTGACAACATATGCAACAATAGGGTTGGTCTCCTTGTTGCAATTGCTCTTGGTTTGGAGGAGAGTGGATTGTTAGTGGCTGAGAGTTCTAAAGATTCAGGTCTGACAGACCTGACAGACTCAACTAGGTATGAAACATACAGGATCCACCAATGGCCATTTGTTGTCAGGGTCTCTGCCAACTATCAAATACCCAAGGTGTTTTGCATCTGATGGTATCAAAGAATTTGAATTTCTAAGAAGTTCAAAGTGCTTAGACCTGTTGGAGTGCATACAGAGAAGGGCCACAAAAATGGCCCCAGGAAATGGAACACCTCTCCTATGAGGAAAGGCTGGGAGAGCTGGGGCTGTTCAGTCTGGAGAAGAGAAGGCTCTGAAGTGACCTGATAGTGGCCTTTCACTGTCTAAAGGGGAGCTACAGGAAAGAAGGGACAGATTCTTTAGTAGGGTCTGTGGTGACAGAACAAGCGGAAATGGTTTCAAGCTCAAGAGGATAGATTTAGGTTAGAGATAAGGAAAAAATCTTCTACAGTGAGAGTGGTGAGGCAGTGGAACAGGATGCCTAGTGATGTGGTTCATGCCCCATTCCTTGAGCCTTTCAAGGTGAGGTTTTATCAGGCCCTGGGTAACCTAATCTAGCTGTGGTATCCCTGTTCATTGCAGGGACTCGGGCTAGATGGCCTTCAGAGGTCCCTTCCAACTCTAAGAATTCTGATTCTGTGAAAGTCCTTCTGTTTAAATCCTGGTGATCTCAATGTCCTGTCTCAACAGCCATTCAGGGGAACACTGACTTTTAGACCCCAGCCTCCCTCCCAGCCAGCCCAGCTGCCATTTTTGCAAGTTGTTTCTAAAGCACTGATAACCATGCCTCTGCTCCGATGGCAGAGTGGTTCCAGTCAGATGGCAGGCATTAATCCAACATGAATCTTCTGAGCAGCTTTATCCTCTTTCTGTATGGACATCACTGTAAATCACTGAGGTGAAAATGAAGGCACTACCAAACACCACCACCCTGATCCTAGCTGTGGGAGTGAGGTCAGAAGCAGAACCATCTTTCTTCATTCTTGTGGATGCCCCCTCCCTGGAAGGATTCAAGGCCAGGCTGGATGGGACTTTGAGCAACCTGGTCCAGTGAGAGGTGTCCCTGCCCTAGCACGGGGTTGGAACTAGATGATCTTAAAGGTCTCTTCCAACCCTGATCCTGTGATTCATTTTCAGGGTGTAATATGAGGATTTTAGCGTTCCAGCCCGTGGAACGCCTTTGCCAGGCGGGCGAGACAAGCAGACGAAGCCAGATCCACGAACTGCCCTCAGCTTCCCGGCAGCCGTTACTCCTCGCGCCAAGCACTGTGGGCGCGGTTCTCCCGGGCACGCCCCGCCCCCCCCTGCCCGGGACGGGGAGTCCCGTGGCGCATGCGCAGTAGCTCCGGCACCGCCGAGGCTCGGGGAGTTGCGGAGCGGCGTGCGGGTCGGCGGTGGTGCGCGGCCGGCGGTGCTCGGCTACTCGCACGGCGACCGCCGGGCGGGCGGCAGCGGTGAGTCAGGGGCAGCGCCGCGGAGGTCGGGAGGGACGGTAGCGGGGAGGTGATGGCCGCGGGTTGGGGGAGTAATGGGTGTCGGTGTGACTGCAGAGGGCGCCGGGCTTGGAGTCGGAACGCGTGGCGGTCCGACGGCAGCGCTCCTTCCCCTGCAGCTGCGGGCGGTGGGGCTCGCCGAGCCGCCGGGAGTCTGCCCTTCCCGGTACTGCCAAGTTCTTTCTAGAGGGGAGAAGCAGCAGCACAACAAGGAGCTCTATCCGTCTGTAAACTTTTTTCACTTCTAGCAGCCGCCGAAAGACTCGGTCATCGCTGGGTGAGAAGCAGCGGGGGCTGGGAGGCCACTCCGCTGGAGCTCTGCTGAGCCTAACGCTGCCAAGAGAGCGTCTTGTTCCTCTTAACAGGGAGCAGGAGGGGGCAGAGAGCCTCAGCATCATCCCAGCTGCTGGGGTCGAGCGGGGTGGGAGCAAAACAGAGAGGAACGGAGCCAGTGGGTAAGGGGATGAAGGCTTCAGGAAGATTGAGGTGCTTGAGAAGCTCGTGCTTTGCATTACCTCTTTGTTATGGATGAGATTTAATAACGCCGAGGAATACCTGGAGGGCGGGTATCGTGTGGATGGAGCCAGGCTCTGTTTAGTGGTATGCAGCAACGGGACAAGGGACAATGAGCACGGACTGGAGCACAGGAAAGAAGTTGCTTATTGTGTTGGTGACAGGGCACTGGAACAGGCTGCACAGAGACGTGTTAGAGGCTCTTTCTCTGGAGATATTCAAAACGCACCTGGGTGCTTTCCTGTGTGACCTGCTGTAGGGGAGCCTGCTTTAGCAGAGGGACTAGATGAGCTCCAGAGGTCCCTTCCATCAACTATAGTACTGTGAGTCTGAGGAGAGGGACAGTTACACGGGTATTGGAATTCTAAATTAAAATCATTGCCTTAGACTTGTTTTAGACACCATTGCTTCTGATTTCCCCTGATTTCCCATTTTCTCACTATGTTGGCAGCATTGTTATACAGCAGTTCATGGAGTATTAGCTACAGGCTCAGGCTAACCTCTCACGCTTCTTCTGATTAACCTCATTATTGCTTCAGTCTGGTTCTCTGCTCCGCCACAGGAATGCTTATGACAGCTTAACGTGTGCAAGGGGTTTACTTATTTCTCTATAAGAAAATATGTATGTAAAAGCACCGTCGATTTTTTTGTGTGTGTATATATATATATACACACACACACATATACGTATGTATACAATGACACAGGCAGATGCACACAGCCCCATTCAAAGAGATGGCCAGCATGGCAGTTGAACAATTTTGGGCCCTCTGTAGAACTGAGGGAGTGCCATTAATAAAGTGGTTGTGGGGGAGGTCAGCTCTGTGAGGCAGCTGGCAGCCATAGGTATCCAGGAAGAGTGAGTTTGTGAGCAGTTCCTGCTGCTTGCCAGGGCAATGAGATTAGAAGCCAGGAAAGAGGGGATGAAAGGTTTCTGTATGGAAATGCTGTGCACAACTGCAGAAGTGAGACTTTTTACTCATCTGTTCAGCCATCTCACTTTTAGATAAGGAAAGCCTGTTTTCCAGAGCTGGTTAAGAGAGCCTGGGATTCCTGAGCACCTCTGTTTCCTTGGAATTGGCAAACATCAGGAAATCCCCAGACAAAACGTGGATTATCTTTCTCAAGCAAGTTCATCCAGGGATTTGCAGCCAAGTAATGCTACAAGATTCTGTGTTAGCTCAAACAACAAAGCATTGCATCTTGTTAATAACACATAAGGTGTTGAGATTAAGACACAGTGACTTTGGTTTTCTTTGGTTAATGGTAAGGAGTAACACACAACTACAGTAACTGCTAATATTGTTATTTCCAGAAACATTCCAAATGAAAAGGTTTTTTTAATTTAACTTCAATTCAGTCTCCTCATACATCTACGTTGAACTACAGTTAACTACTAAGTAATAACATACTGTTTGTTGAATAAAAATTCCTGTTATGCTCAAAGTGGGAAAGGGCAGAGTTTTCAAGAAATAGAATTGCTCGTCTAAACCTGTACTGCTATTGCAAATCAAGCTCACAGACTTTGGAAAGGTACCCCTAAAATAAAATGCATTTAGTTAGTGTCCACACTTAAACAGCATTTTAATGTTACTCTGTGGAGTCATGAGGGAACTTTGAAGCAGAAGCACAGACAGAATGTGCTTTAGCATTAGCTTGTTTTAGGACATACTGTTAGGAAACGTTTGTGTTTTCTGTGCTGTTTTAAGCAGCTCCTTATTCCTGTCATCTTTTACCTCATGTTGTCCTGCCTGTCTCTGTGGTCTCCTTCTCTTGTAAGAGCATAACCATTTTCTATACACACGATGAGGTAGATCACAAAATTAATAATACTGGGGAAAAAATAAGTCTGACCTGCATCTGACCCTGCATCATTTTCCTTACCCAGCAGCTCTTAGAACCAGCTGGGTGGGTGAGGGAGCACCACAACATGCAGCTGGTACCACTTACTCCAAGTGTACTGGAAAAAATAATAAGTCGTTTACTTCCCTTGTACAAAAATCCTGTAAATCTCATTTGCTTTGTATGTTCCCACTTTTTCCGGATTCCTATGGATGAGGATTTTATTCTCTGCACAGTCCTGTCAAGGTCTTTCCCTTTCAGGCCCTCAGCTCAATTCTGACTTTCTGTGCTGCTTTTCATATCACCTTGCTCTATCCTCTTTATTTCCCACCAGCTGTGTTTCCAGGGTGCTACCTTTCTCTGGCTTGCATTTCTGTAGTTTCTTTTGCTCCAGCCTCTGAAGACAGTCATTCTTCCCCACCCCTCCCTGCATCCCTTGCTTCCTCTCTCACATTATAAACAAAAGTAGTTGCAGTGTGCAGTAGAAAACAATGCAGCACTGGCAAGGGAGTGGACTAAATGACCTAATGTCTAATGTCTGTTCTCCTGCCAGCTATTTTTATTCAAGTTCAGATGTCAGTAACTTTTTGACCTTTTGAAATCTAATCTGACAATACCCTGACTTTTCTTTGTTTACTCTTGTTCTGTTTACTGATTCTTGTTTAGTAAAAGTTGATACGTGTTTGTGAGATCTGAAATGAGCTTATCTGATTGCCATCAATTTTGTAACATTTCAAAAGCAAAGCCTATCTGCAGACAGGGTAAAGAAACTGCATACTCACTACCTGAAGTCACACCATGCTTAGAAGGAAATATGTTTGTGGAAAGCTGATGTATAAATGTTTTAAGCTGGAGCTCACTTTTACCCAAGCTGATAGGTAAGGATTATGTAAAACATCTTTGAAAGTTATGCAGCTGCTCAGAAATACACTTAGAAAAGGTGAGAAACATATTTGCACAGCCCAATATAACGGAGTTTGCATCTGAGGCTAAGACTTCCAAAACAATACAGTGGCACAAAAAATGTTGCCTGTTTTCAAAACGAGTGCTTCCTTTTATCGTTTTGTTTGGTTTTGTTGATTTTTTTTTAAATCAAATTTTATCCATTGCATTGTGCCATGTATGTGCTCAGTGGAGTGTTTCTTCAAAGCATTTGAAGCAACCTTCTCAAGTTGCTTTGAAATCACTTTTAGAAGTCGTCATCGTTTGTTTTCAGATTACCCACTGAATGTACTTTCAGCTTTTCAACACACTAGTCAGCTCTGCTTCAATATATGTACTCCAGCAGTGGTCAGATTAAGTGATACTAAAAATCAGAGAGAGAACACATGAAAAGTAGTACTGCAGTAGTTTATCAAGGTTCATTTTGTTGCCTGAATCTGCCTAACTTGTTTTTGCCAGAAGTCTAGGTTAGGTGAGAGTTTTTTGTTGCTTACACCAAGATGCTATGTGCTGTTGTTGTAAGTCTGGATATTCCTGTTTTGCTGAGCTTTTTGTCTTGTAGTATAAGAGTGAATGCCATGAACCAATTTCAAGAATCACTTCACATCAATATGTCCTTAAATCCCTATCTCTAAATGAACTGTCAGGTGTTTAGTATCTATTACTATTAGCTGTATTTCTATATTACTAAGTGTTTAGTATTCAACATTGAAGAATGATTCTTTTTTCACTCAGGAAACTTAAATGTGTTATCTTGCTGGTGAGAAGCAGTTTATAGGAATGCTACCAGATAGTGGCATTCATCAGACATGAACTTTTGCACCTGCCTGTGGATAAACCTGCCAGGCTTATCAGTGTATATTTACTGACCCTGTGTGTACACTTCAGCTTGTAGAGCCTTACGTCTGAGCATTTGCTAAAGCTGGGAAGAGAAGCACCTTCCTTTTCGTTCTTTTCCTAACCTTCATTCTCGCTGCAGTGGGAAAGAGGTTTCACCAGCAGTATCCTCAGCAAACTCTCTTGCCTGCCTTCCTGTAGTAATACCCTGCAGCATCTCAAATTAGTGCAGTCCTTGACATTTTCTTTCAGCGCTGCTGAGCAATCTGAGTATCAGAAATGAAATGGACTCACTGTGCTATTTTCTATTTGCTGCTGCTTATCAGAGCTGTGGGCAGCAACAAAATAAAGGCATGACTTAGAACTGAGTGTGTGGCTTTGTAAGCAGCTTAGCTGATCTAAGCATGTCCTACTGCTTGAAAACAAGCTCTTGCTTTTCCTCTCCATCCTTGTTAGATTTTGCATTTATACTGTTTCCCTAATACTATATAGTCAACTGGACCAGGAGATGATTTGTTTTTAAACAAACTCAGGCACGCAGAAGGCTTTCCATTAGCTGGAGGGCTGCCAGCCAGAGCCTGTGTTAGTTCAGGGAGGAAGCAGGACAGTGTGGCTGTCTGTGGAGGGGGAGGGGGGAACTACCTGCTCGGACAGCAGCTTTACTGGTGCATTGCTGTCTTACAGTGCATCACTATCTTTCTTTGCTGTCATCATTGGAGAGCAGCAGCTTGAATGGTAAGATCCATGGAATTTCTTCCAAGAGGAGAAAGGACCGGTGAATAGATCTGGGGGGACAAAGTCAGGTGAGAAACAGGATAAGCAAGCTT